TCGACACGAAAGAGAATTAAAAAATATTGACTCAAAACTGACAACTAAAGAGACAGGTTTATTTATTTGTCAAATTACATAGAAACCAACGCCAACCCAGCACAATATTTTTTCTACTTGTAATAAATTCGTTGAAATAATAATTTCTGAATATTTTTTAGAACGTTGTAATTCGCTATGGAAAAAAATATTGTTTTGTACACGACAATAAAATTGCATTATCGTCGACCGAAAAGATTAATTCACGAGCGATGAAATCGCAAGTGAATTAATTTCGGGAGATACCATTTTTAATCATTCATAAAATACCATTTTATTATCGTCTTGTATAAACAATAACTATTAATCTATTTTTTTTCAACATTTCAAACTGTTTTTCACACAGTTTCACACTGTTTCAAACATGTCCTTCAAATCCTTTTAATTTAATAGTTATTAAGAAGTTTCACTTCAAATATGCGCATGTAGTGCATACACAAGTCATTTTGTCACAAAGTCCAGTTTTCACAAAAATTTTTAAAGGCACAAAAATAATTTCAGAACACATCCATCCAAAAATGTAAACACTAGCTGATTAAAAAGATGTATTAATATTGACTAAATGCACCAAGCCCACAGAATTGCGCATCTATTAGCTTATAGTCGAAGGTTCCCTCAAACATTAGGATAGGTACTCTAATCTGAGTCAGTGTATAAAAACTGGGTTACGTAAGAATACGAGAAATATTTATTATTCAGTAAGAAACCAAAAGAAATATTAATATTGACTAAATGCACCAAGCCCACAGAATTGCGCATCTATTACCTTGTAACGTTTTTAGTTCGTTACATGTTTTTTTTTATATATAATATATGATGTCTGGCCTATCATCACCGGATTCCCTCTCGTTCAGGCCGGATAGTTTATTTGACGCGTAATTTTTACGTTCCCTAGTCGCCAACCCTGTTACCGTTCGACACAACCCTGTTACTATTCTGTGGAGGCGCGCGCTGTCAACATCGCTTCTGTCAACTCTCCGTGCTTAACCTCACTTTGTTTTGACTCTCTGTTGTATCCAAATACGTTTTAATAAAATATACGGAGAGTACCGCTTAAATTCCTGTCCCGATGTTGAAGGATGGCTATAGAATGTCAATGCATTTCCTACATAAGTCTATCCTTGTTCGGGAGGAGGTTTTCTGCGCTTGCTCGATCTGTAAGCACTTTGATTGGACAGTTCCAAATCATATGATATGTTTTGTTTTGGTTTTATTTATTTTAAGTTGAGGTTAAAGACGTTCTAATAATTGATTTAAATCTTTCGAAAAATTGGAAGTTTTTGTTAAATATTCTGAAATCAAATAAGTTTGATAATGTAACATTATGCGCATATTTATCAATTGAGATATTTTAATCGTATCCAACATGTTATGGCAAAACACTTTTTCAACCAAAAGTTTTCAGATATCTTCGATTTAGTTATTTTCGAATGTTTATTTTGTTTATATGTATTACAAACTCAAGGAGCAACAGTTGTTTACAAGTAGTGTTAATTTTGATGCTGGTGCAATACTTCTACTCGTTTATGTTTATTATAAATATTACAGACATTTAAAAAAATAGGCTATGGAATAGGTATATAAAAATTATTTTATATCTGTCTCACAATGGGGGGCTCCTAGTAGCGTAATAAGTATCTGCAGTGCGAAACATTTCCCTGTCTAGTGACTCATCAATCGTATACAAATAGCATAGGCTCGATAGGAAATTTCTTGCTACAGAATCCCATTGCTGATTTCTAAAATTCTTTTTCTAGATAGGCTTCCCGCATCGTAAAAATTCCTATTTTATGGTATGTAATTAGTATTCTGAAGGTATTAAAATATTTTAATATCAATATAGTTTTTTCACTGAAACTCGAGTTAAATCTTAATATACATTATTCATATTGTCGTTTTAGAGATTGTGCTTTTATACTTACTATTATGAAAATTTACTGAATAAAATATATAGTTGCAATCCTTTTACTGAACTCCTTAATTTCTTGTTTTATGAGGGGATAATTTTTGCTTATTTAGGTACTAATTTTAATTAGGCCATTTTTTAATGAACTCATTTATATTTATATCATATCGTTCTAAGTAGACTTTGTTGTGTTAGACAATTATTATTAAATAAAACGAATGAAAAAAAGTCACAGGTACGATATTTTTTTTAAATTCAAAAAATAATTTAGTAAAACCACAATTATTAAGAAATTGTCTTAAAAACTTCGTAGTACAAATTGCATTATTTCACTTTTTTTAAAATTCAAAAAATAATTTAGTAAAACCTCAATTAAGGAACTGTCTTAAAAACTTTGTAGTACAAATTGCATATCTATTTCACTCGACTTAAAAATTGCAGCAAAACAAAGTATAACAGTACATTTTTTACTGTCTATTGTTTCTTTTACTGCCCATGTATTTATGATCAATAATCAACATCAGTCCTGGTTTAAAATGAAACAAAAGTAATTCTTTATTATTAACATATTTTTTATTAAACAAATATAACGTACATATTAAGTTTATACATAAATCAAGCTAGATACAAAAAATATAATTATTTACATTGTTGCATTAATTGTAAATACTCTTTTATATTATGAAAAAAAAACAATAATAATTTACAATAAGACAGTCTGTGTGTAACTGTGTAAGCATTATAATTAGCCTTATGTAGTCTCTATTTTTAGTCTTTACATTATGTCTTTTTTATTTTAAAATAGTAAGACTAAATATAATGCTTTTAACAATTATTGATTTTTGAATAAAATTAGTTTCGTATATTTTTGTCTTATATTAACATCCCTTTTATTTCTGATTTTGCTTTCATGATACAAACGAACATCGAGAAAAATTTTATTATTAATTTTGTTAGTTGGCTTCTACCACACAAAAGCAGTAGCCCATTCCCATTGTTCTATTAATTAAACTACAGCAAAAGTCTTTAAAACTAAATCACAAAATTGTCAATAAACGCACAAAGATTAAAATACAAACGAAAACACAGTACACGTGGAAAACACAGAAAGTTAGAGAAAACACTAATGACACTAATGGCGACTGCCCAAGTCCAAACTGAAAACAAAATCCACGCCGACGACGCGTCCAAAATAAATCGATAACCCATCTCGACACCATTCGGCCAATAGAAAAGTAGCATTTCGGCGCATGTGCATTACATCCAGCTACTGAACAAGGATGGACTTATGTCAAACTCGATCTTCTGTCCTTCAATCCTGGGACATAAATTCTCTCATTGCTCTTATGGGGAGGCCGCGGTATATGTAAATTTAAATGTATTTGGTTGTATCCCAGCTTTTAGAAATGGTGATTATTTAAATCTTGCTGTATAATTTGAATCAGCTGCTATTTCGAGGCTACAGGTAAAGATAGTTATTACCTTTTATAGATTCGATATTATTATTGAATATTTTTAGGGTAGAGTTACGGATGTCCCAACTTGTATTTGTATTTTGCTGGCACGTTGGCGTCCCTTTTCTTTTGTCCTCCAGAATGTCACATGGAAGAAAGGACATGTTGTTTATTATTTATTGAGCCCTCGGAAGTATTTCGAGGTAGGTTTATTTTGTTTATTAGACCTTGTTTGGTTTTAAACAAGAGTTTCATATTTTTAGGGTCCAAAGTACAGACTATTTCCACGGTACGGACTATTTCCAAGGTACGGACTGTGTCCAAGGTACGGACTGTGTCCAAGGTACGGACTGTGTCCAAGGTACGGATAGTGTCTTATGTACAGACATTATCTTATGTACAGATGTCCTGTGGACGAGTGTCCCCAGTAAGAATGATTTTTTTCCTACATATAAGTGCCACAGCGTGGATGTAGCTTGAGTCCCATGCTGCTTCGTTCCCACCTATAAGCTAGTTAGTTACGGGTGTATCAAGTCATGGTGTCCTCATTCTGGCCCCTTTGGTTGTGTTGGATGGCTGAGTACAGAGAAATGCTAGACCACCTCACGCTGCTACTGTTTGAAGCAAGGTTACATAAAAGAACAGCTAAGTGTATATTTAAGTTCTAGTTTTACATTTAACATCTAAAACATTTTCAGTCTTAAACAGTAACATACATTTTAAATAATATCGTACAGACTATATTTAGTGGTTAGATTATTAAGAACATTTATGTCGATGCAGTAGTTACAATGTGATTTAGATTTTAGATTTCATTATATTACGCCTTGTAATAGTATTACTTTCTATAGATAATATTGCACTATATTAACAGATGAATAACGAGACGAGCATAAAATTTAACAATTTAAATAAAGTAATGCTACTTTTCTTATAATTTCTATAACGTTACAAGCATTGTATTTTTTCATAGTCTTTTCATAGAACATATTTATTATTATTTACATACATAGTTTTACTCAACAAATAACCACTATAATAATTATTAAAATTGTACAATGCTATTTACCATCAGAATTCATCATGAATAAATATAGTCATTAGTTTTAAGTAATATACAACTGTCTTTTCTTTCTCTGTACATGCCTGGCGCCCAATATCTATTTTTTTGTTTATTGTTCTTAATTAGTTTTCTTTCCAGTGAAATACCTTATCCACGACTGCTCTCCGATGAAAAGCTGCCGTTCGCAGTGGTAGTTGTTTAAAAAACGCTACAACCTTATAGTCGAAGGTTCTCTCAAACATTAGGATTCTCTAATCTGAGTCAGTGTACAAAAACTGGGTTACGTAAGAATACGAGAAATATTTATTATTCAGTAAGAAACCGTCATAGAGATTAGTTGTTGCTAGGAAATACTTATTTTCCTCTAAACAACATTATTTCAGAGATGAGTGATGACACATGTCAGACAGAGAACCCCGTCCATGCCTAGGAAACTCTTATGGATGTGACAGGTTGTAGCCGATAGCCCAGGTACTAGACGCACGAGGGGGCGCAATTAGCAAAAAAAATTACAAAATATAAAATTTTACCTGTTTTTACCGTCAAATGTAAAATTTAACCTGTCAACAGTTGTCAATTTATATTTTATTTTGCCCGTTATCCGTAGATCGTGATTTAAATTTGTTTTTGATTTTTTTACGGCTCTGTTCTTGTGCTTTTTCATATTTTTTAACTGTAGACAATGGTTTTTAAGTGTTGTGTTACTGGCTGTAAGAATTACCAAAAAGATGCCCAAATGCATATGTTTCCGAAGGATCAAATAGTAAGTGTTAACAGGTGTTACCACCAAGATAGTTTCCCTTCCTTTAAGATTGTTAATTAATTGTAAAATAGGTTGCCCTAATTGTTATAGATCTAGATATATTTTATTATTATAATGTTTTGTATTTTTTTTGTTATTACATATATTCAGTTCAATTAAGATGATTTCTTATAGTTTTTTTTTGTGTCTTTGATATATCCCCATTGTCATTTTAACTTAAATATATTTATTCGAGTAAATTGGTTCTTTCTTGAATCAATTTACTTGAATAAAAAAAATAAAAACTATCCGTTTTAAATTTATGTTTTATTTCATTACTAGACCCACGAGATGGCGCCACCGCTCGGTCCGGACAAAATGTATTGAGTTTCCTTTCTATTTTATATTATATAGTATCTGATCTATGACCCCTTCCAGATTAACTCTAGCAACAAAAGAGAGATGCTATAACTCAACTTTAAACTTATAATCATTATTTTCACAGGTAATCAAAACCGTTTCTCGATAGATCGCTGAAGTTAAGCGATGGTAGATGATGTGGGTGTATGGACCGGTATTACCTGGAAACTCTCTTGTACTGTTGTTAGAAGCTGGATGAGATTGGATATATGGTGAACAATTGATTGAGGAGTGTCCGGATTGGTATCCTAGCATCACAGAAATAAGACGATCACTTTTATTTCGAAACAGGTAAGCAGCACCTTCAAAGGTAAATTACAAAATTGCCATGATGTTTTTACACTGATGAAAAAATGGGATATTCTAATTAAACTATGATATATACGTATATAATTTATGTGAACAGTGAGTAGAATTAGTTTAAAATTAAGTGTTATTAATTAAATACAGTCACTTAATGTTATTATATTATTATAATCATAAATATATTACGATTTATTTTTAAACGAAAAAACTAATAATACTCCATATACTGTTGTTGTAGTAGGGACAGATATACAAGGTGGCGTCTCTTAGTACGCTGCGGAAGCTCCAAGGAGAACGGTAGTTTATATCAAAATGAAATTTTGGCAGCATATGTAGGTTAACTGAAAGCATTTTATAAAAATATATAGAATTATACAGAGTGTTCCCAAAAAAAGTTACACATCAAACTTTTGTTTTTTCTAATGGAACACCCTATATATTAATCGATTTTCGGATTCCATGAAAAAAATAAAGGTGAGTTTTATTACAGAAGCATATACCTAAAATCTAAGAATTTTGACATATTTCACATTTTGTGAAAATGAAGAGTAAATTTTAAATTTCAATAATAGCTACCTAAATTTTAGTTGACCTTGTATAACCTGATATTTAATTACAGTAATCATTGTATGTTAAACCAAATTGAAATTTGACCCATAAAGTTATACAGGGTGAGACAAAATTAATATGGAATATAGTCACTTTTAAAAGTAAGTTAGTCCTTTATTTTAAATAGAACACCCAGTATATTTTTCCGGTGTTCAATGGCGAATTTATATATCTTCAAAATTTTTTATTAAGGTTGCCCACCCCTCAAACAAATATTTTCCTAGATATTTTAATTTTTATGATTTTGCGTCAGTAGATCTTTATTATTTGAAAAAATCTAGGGGCGGCTGTGTGATATACCTTTTGTTAATTTGACAAAAATTAAAAATTGTAGAGTAAAATACTCAACGGTAATAAAAAGATACACGTTTAAAACATATTTTAATTATTACAGAATAAAAACTAGATATAAACCAATAATTATGTGACAAAAATTAGCTAGATGAAATCAAATGCTCAAAATGCTTCCTCTCCTGTTAACTACATAAAATAATGATTGTTTTTTCAAATAGATCTTTTCATTTTAAAAGGCATATGTGGAGTTCTACCTTGAAAAGCAGCTACAATAATTTCCCTCATGATGTCGACGATAGTTGGTCGAGTTTTGTAAACACTGTCTTTAACACATGTCAGACTGAGAACCTCATCCAGATTAACACTAGCAACAAAAGAGAGACGCTATAACTTAACTTTAAACTTATAGTCATTATTTTCACAGGTAATCAACACTGTTTCTCGATAGATCACTGAAGTTAAGCGATGTTAAATGATGTGGGTGTATGGACCGGTGTATATATGGAAACTTTGTCGTGCTGTTGTTAGAAGCTGGATGAGATTGGATATCTTGTGAATAATTGATTGAGGAGTGTCCAGATTGGTATTCTAGCAACATAGAAACAAGATGTTCACTTAACTTTTATTTCGTCACAGGTAAGCAACACCTTCAAAGGTAAATGACAAAATTGCCATGATGTTTTTACACTGATAAAAAAATGGGATATTCTACATAAACTATATTATGTACGTATATAATTTATGTGAACACTGAGTAGACTAATTAGTTTAAAATTATATGTTATTAACTAAATACAGTCACTTAATGTTATTTAATTATTATAAACATAAAAATATTATTATATATTTTTAAACGAAAAAACTATGGTAATCACAATACTATTTCCAATGCACGTGTTCAACTTTGAATGACAAGCGATGGCGACAGCACCGCCAGATTGTGATGGATTTATGAGATTAATCTTAATTTAAAATTGACAAACAACATATATATCATATATTTTAAAGAGTTTCACGTTTTATTTTTAATTTAATAATTAATATTTTAGTGATTGATTGATTTATTTGTTTTATAGCTTATATATATTTTATAGTTATATATATATATATATATATATATATATATATATATATATATATATATATATATATATATATATATATATATATTTATATATATGATAACTTAGCCAAGTTAGCGTTAAAAAGTTTCCTTTTCAAAAATTTAAATAAAGGAACAAAACTGCAAACAAAGTATATGTTAAATACGATCGTGTTTTTTGAAAAGAACTAAAAACCGAAATAACGATTTCTCGTGAATACAAAAGGCTTTAGATCCCTGGGCAACTTTGACCAGTCGAATTGGATAAAGCTATCTGGACCAGAAAGGGGATATTATCAGCTTTATTTTGCACAACTTTTTCTACCATTTGTCTAATGACGCAGTAAATTTGCAGCAATTTGAATAGGGAGCCCGGATTTTTGTGGGATTAGGCCGGGCCCTGCCTGCAAAGAATAGTATATTTTTCTGTAACGTTTTTTTTTTCACTTTCGCGGAGCGAAACTCTATCTTTTGTTATAGGCGATAATAAATTTTAAATAATGTCCAGATTTTAAAGCTTGGATTCGAAGTTTAATTTATCGAGGTATACATTGAAAAAATTAACTTGTGAACTTTTTTACTTATAACGTTTTACTTTTACACTGAAGTTTTATAAAATTTAGTTTTAAAACATAACATGCCCAACAAACAAAATTTATTGCTGGAACATTGCCAAAACTTCGCAAAGCAAGGTGTAACATTGCTTTTTTCATTGTAGGGAGATTTATGCAAGGTTTCGGGGTAGCTTAATCTTCCGCCAAATAACATTGCAGTGCAAGGTTGCATTTCACAATATTATTGAAACGTTGCTAATGTAACTTTCAAGAAAGTACTAAATTGGGATGTATTAGCAATATTGTTAATTTTACGTCAATACAATATTGGTGAAATTATATTATTAATTATAATTAACTGACTTATTGCTAAAATAATATAGCAAAAAATAGATAATGTTTGAATTAAAAAACCATTTCATTCATCAGTGGGAAAATATAAAAATTATTTTTTAATATTTACCTATCAATTAATGAAACAGTTTTTTCTTGCGAACATTAGCAATTTTATGTTGACAATAATACATCAGTAATAGAGGTTATAATCAACAGAAACATTAATGGGTATTAAATTGTAGACTTTCAGATAGTTATAATATACTTTTACTAATATTGTATTGACGAAAAACATAAACAATATTGATAAAAATATGTAGGTATACCTCTATATCCATTGACTTTGAAAAAAATGCTCGGTAAGTATATCCTTACCAAGAAAGTCGAATTTGTCAAACAAATTGAAAAAAAAACAAATAAAAATTAGAAATTTATCACTTACTTGTTTCAAAAATATCAAAAATACTGTTAAGTACTGAGAACTTACTGATCTTTTCGGCTACTCATTAAATAAGGAATTATTATCCGACCTCCGAGTCGAATTTCTAAAAAAAATCTTAAAGTTGAATGTCTGAAATAATACAAAATATATAGGTACAATATAAACATTATATTTTTTTGTTTTCACTCTTGGCTTTAGGTCGTTGGGGTTGCAAAGATGTTTCTAGATTTTTTTCATTATTTTTTTACTTTGTGACGACGTTTCGACAGTATATGTCTTTTTCAAGCCTCTTGAACGTAGATTCTTACAGAGTTAAAATTTGTTAAACTGGACAACACAATAACACATATTAACTATTGTTTTTAATTGTTTTTGGACATTACACTTTACTATAGAGCACGTACGTATTTATCGTTTCAATACCCGATGTCTACTCGGGTAGGTAGGTAGTATAGGGTGGCCTTGCATAACATTGTTTTTATATTTCTATTCAATATATGACGATGTTGAAAGAGAAGTTTCAAATTTAAGTAAGCTTTCTGAAGGCATGCATTTATATGCTCTTGAAATCTGAGATTTTGATCCATGATAACTCCTAAATTTTTTGCGCTCGTTTTTATCAGTAAAGTTGAATTATTTATTTCAATTGAGTTCGAAAAGCAATCCAAAAACTTTTGTCTGTCACCACCTTTACCAAAAACTAATACTACAGACTTCTTAGGGTTCAAAAAAAGACCATGATTTTTTGCCGTGAGAGAAAATTGATTCAAATCATAATTTAATGCCGAGATAGCTTGAATACTTTCTTCAGGAGGAAATGACAAGTAAATTTGTGTATCGTCAGCGTAAAGGTGATATTTGCTAGACAGTGATGTATTCGGAAAATGAGAAGTATAAATACTAAATAACAGAGGGCCCAAAATCGAGCCTTGTGGGACACCGCTAGTGACTGCTTTGAAGGCAGACTGTTTACCGCCATAAGTTACTGCTTGACTTTTGTCTTTTAAAAACTCCTTGAGTAAGTGAACAGCCTGTTCTGAAAGTTCAACACTCTGCAAAATTCAGTCTTTTTAAAACCCGATTGTTTTGCTGGAATTACAGACTTTAGCGTCGAGTATGCAGTTAATTGGTTATGTAATATTCTTTCTAATATCTTGGAAAAAGTGGACAATACACTTATTGGTCGTAATTGATTTAAAGAGTAGACTAATGGAACTTTTGGCAGAGGAACTACCAACGATCTCTTCCACATACTAGGAAATATAGAATTATGTATACAAAAATTTATGATATGAGTAATATAAGGTAAAATTAAAGGTATACACAAATTTATCGAAAGTATATTTAGTCCATCAATGCCTACTGCGGTTGTTTTTATGTTAGATATTATTCTTAAAACCCCAAGTTCATCTACTGCATGAAAATTAAACTCGCGGTTCAAAAAATTGTTTTGTTCATAAAACATAGTTTTTAAATTGATAGTATTAATTAGAGTTTCCGGAACCGTACTAAAATATTTTGTTCAATGATTGTGGAGTTCATCAATTAGCAAGCAAGGGACGGTTTTCAAAAGTAAAACCGATAAAAAAATTGAGTTTCTAATGAAAATAATACCAAATTATTAAATCATGAGAAAGTAAACATGAACACAAGCGAAAAAAAAAAGAAAACATAGCTTAAAAATTACATCAAACAACATCAACCAACCTCGAAACCAATAATAACTAAATTTGAAAAAAAAACTTGACATTATCAATTAAACATGCAAATGCCTATAAAAACATAACTGAAAAAAATATAACTAATACATTTAGCAGCATTATACTAAATAATAAAATAACATATTTAACCTCAATAATTGCTAATAAACATTATAGAAACTTCAAAATAACTTCAGAAATAAGAACAGTAAGAGATAACATCACTATTTATTTAAAGAGTTTAATTTCGACCGCTAGAAAGTATCAAAAATCTTTCGCACGTAACAAAAAATATGTTTTTAATTATTATTACCGAGTCCCAAAAGGTACCGAAAGAACCGTAAATTAATAATTTCGAGTCCCGGTTCTTTGATGTCTCAAAAGAACCGAGAATTCGCGGTACTTTCGGTACCGGGATTTCCCGGTTCTGAACCCTAGTTCCAACCCCCCACTGTAATAATTATAATTTTGAATTTACATTTTTAATAGTACAGAAAAAAACCGTCAGTCAAGAGTACTTTTCTCCCATTTTTCATACCGGTATCAAATAAACAAAACTGAAGTTATAAAGCAAATCTAACTCTGTGATTTAGAGGATTAATACAAAGCCTTTTTTCGATAAACCGGTAATCCGGTTTCTGAAGTCGTTCTCCTGTAAAACAAGGGTTCATAATTGGTCTAATATATTGTTTTTTCAGGCGGGAAAAAATCAAAAAGGAGGAAAAAACAGGAGAGAGGGCTGTGAAAATAAAAACACCAATGGGAAGGGGCGTTTAAGCCGAAAACTAATTAATACAAAGAGATAAAAGGCGAACTGATTTGGAGATTAAAACACAACGAGAGAAAAACAAAATGTTACTGAAAACCCGATAAAATATACAATTTGTTTTTAGCCTTTTTGTGATAATTTAAATTCGTTTTTTTCCATAGCAACTATTAAAATTGCCTTATATCTATCATAAATACTAGATAAAATAGTACTTTAACCTCAAGGGTAGATTAAATGATACTTTAACAGCGGGGTTAGGTTAAAAACTTTATTTTTTCTCGCACGTTTTTTAATTGCTTCCATTTTTGAAAATGTTTGTATTCCTTTTCAAAAGTTATTCGGGATTTAAATGGAAGTAGTTTGGATATGGCGTTTGTCGCCTCAGCCTGAATATCTGTTGGTAATTTACATATTTCGTTTTGAGCCATTTCTGGCTCCAATTCAATCAGCAATCGACACGAAAGAGAATTAAAAAATATTGACTCAAAACTGACAACTAAAGGGACAGCTTTATTTATTTGTCAAATTACATAGAAACCAACGCCAATCCAGCACTATATTTTTTCTATTCGTAATAAATTCCTTGAAATAATAATTTCTGAATATTTTTCAAAACGTAACTCGCTATGGAAAAAAAATATTGTTTTATACACGACATTGTAGACTACAAAAAAGCCTTTGACAGCATTGAAACCTGATCATTTCTAGCTGCAATGGAGGACGCGAGAATTGATTCCAGATATTATTCCATTATTAAAAATATCTATGATAGTGCAACCTTCCAAGTTAAATTAGATGATGACCTTAAAACAGAAAAAATACCACTCGGCGAGGGCGTGAGACAAGGAGATACCATCTCTCCCAAGTTATTTACACTGGTACTGGAAAATGTCTTCAAGAAATTAGAATGGGAAAATAGAGGTCTAAACATCGATGGGGTACACCTTAGCCATCTGAGGTTCGCAGACGATATTGTCTTGCTGAGCACCGACATTCAAGAACTGAACACCATGCTAAATGAGCTAAATGACAAATACCAGAAAATTGGCCTTAAAATTAACTTGAAGAAGACCAAGATAATGAGCAACAATATCCATAACATTACCGTTGACAACGTTATTATTGAAAACGTAGACCATTATATATATTTAGGTCATAAAATCAAGCTTGGCAAGGAAAACCAAAATACGGAGATCAAACGCAGGATCCATTTGGCATGGGTAGCATTTGGAAATATAGCAATATTTTCAAGGATAAAAAAGGTGCCCATGAACCTAAAGAAAAGGCTTACGACAGCTGCATTCTACCTGTGCTTACGTATGGCTTAGAGACTATGGCAATTACCCGAAAAACAGCAGAACAACTACGAGTAGCACAAAGAGCCATGGAAAGAATCATGTTGGGAGTCACCATTAGGGAAAAAATACGGAATACCCACATACGTCAAAAAACAAAATTAATAGATGTCGTTAAAATAGTGGCAAGTCTGAAGTGGCAATGGATAGGACATGTGGCAAGACAGGATCCAGACCGATGGCTCCAAAAAGTAATCCTATGGAGACCTAGGGGAACAAAAAGAAGTGTGGGCCGACCAAAAAAGAGATGGGTCGATGACGTCAGGGCAGTGGCGGGAAGATAATGGATAAGATTGGCTAGAGATCGCGAAGCATGGAAAAACCTAGAAGAGGTCTATATCCAACATTGGATGGAACCAGGCTGAGAAAGAAGAAAAGAAGAGAAAGAAGAAAGAAGAAGAAGACACGACAATAAAATTGCATTATCGTCTTGTATAAAAAATAACTACATATTTCTACCTCTGTCCTTTTTTATAAAAACTATTTTATATTTTAAAAAGTTTGGCATAGAATTTTGAACACCCTGTTTAGTTTAAGATTACAGTATTTTCAGAGCAAATTAAGTACAGACCAATTATAGTAAATATCTAGTACAGTTTTGATTTTAGGATTTTTTTTATTTTTAAATTTTTTTTTTATATAAGGTTGAAAAATATTTTTTTCATTTATTTATTAATATCTTATGATTATGTAAAGTGGTGAGTTTTGTATTCTAGAAGCTACAGATGTCCGACGTATTATTGCCGGACCCTGTATAACTTTGAGCAGTTGGTAATCTTCAAATTTATTTTGTATTTTTTTCTATTTTTCTTGCAATTTTTTTACTATTTTTTCTGGCAAAATTAGCCTAGTAAAAAAAATCGTACAAATGTATGTCCTAATATGCATTGGTTTCGGAGATACAGGGTGTAGAAATTTAATTTTTATTTCGATTTTTTTCCAAATAATTTCCGAAGTAACGTCAATATGTTGATGGAAATTGGTGTCTGGGAGTTTTTAGACATGAGAAATTTGATTTTGATGTCAATATGATTCCTACTTGTAGAGGGCGCCACATATATATTTTTTAACTGGTTTGAAGCGTCTTTCTAGCTTTTCGTCCGTACCTGTATAAAATTACCGAGGAAAGAAAAATAAATTTACGACTTTTTTACGCAAAAGAAGTCTCTTGGTAAAAATCGCTACGAGTAATGGTTCTCAAGATATTTGATATCTATATTATCAATACCCCGTCATCATTGACATAAATTAAACATGTTGACTAAAGAGTTACTAGACTCAAATCATCAATTTGGAATGTTTTTGTGCCAAAAGTTAAACATAAAATGTTTTATCATAATTTCTTATATCGAAAAACTTCCAGACACTAATTTTCATCCAAATATTGACGTTACTTATTATCATCCAAATATTGACGTTAATTATTTGGAAAAAATCGAAAAAATATGAAAGTTCTATACCCTGTATCTCCGAAACTAAGCATTCTAGGACATACATTTATACTAACTTTTTTACTTATTTTTATCTGCAGAATATGCTGCCGAAGTTTCCGGAATACACTTTGGACCACCCTGTAGATTAAATTAAATATAAAAAGTCTACGTAATAAAAGTTCGATAATTCATTTTCTCCTGCGATCTCTGGAACTATTTCGAACTATTAGAGATAAAAATGTACTCATTTTTCACCTAATCTATATTAATTTTCCCCGAGAAATCAGGCCCCACCAGAAGGAGTAATTTGAATTTGAATCATGCTTTTCGTGTAATTACAACTCGGCAAGCACGTGCAGTCTTGTAGCGATGAGAGCAGAACAAGCAAGCGTTTAAGATTTATTATAAAACTTTGTTATATTAGTGGCGAGATTAAATCGTAAAGTATCCAGTTTGGCTCGTTTCGGCCACATTTTGTTTCCCCCTTCTGCCTTAAGTTAACACCTCGCCTGTATTATTTATCTCCTTTTGTCTTGGATCTCTCGGTTTTCCTGAACTTACAAATTAGCTCATTTTCTTTAGACGACTTTTTCTACTAACTTCAATTCCAAGCCTTAAACAACCTCTACTCTATCCCAGAAATGTTTTTTTTGTCGCGAACCACTCATTAGATTTTGATGATTTTTTTCTAAATTGTAAATTAATTCCTTCTTAACGGATGCTACGTCAGAAATTTCTATTCCGAATTTATTTTGAGCATATACAAGGGCACAACAATAAGACGAAGTTTTTTGTCCGAACTTTGTAACACCAGGTTGCAGTCCTTTACAATTTAAAAAAAAAAATAATCAAAATCTAATTAGTGGCTCTCGAGAAATCCAACTTTGAAATTGGGACTAGTTTTTAGTGGCCGGTTTTTTGCCGGTGAGTTTATATGCCCGTGTTATAAAAATTAGTTTCCCACGTTTCCTGAAATAGATCGAGACCCGCCGTGATTGGTCGTTTGTTTTTTATTGTTAATCTGGGTTAACAATAAAATAATCCCTGTATAATAAATAATACTAGTTGAATGGATTTATATCAAACCATGCTGGGTGCTAATAGAAGTATCGTTTACAGATTTCTCTTAAGAACAATAAAAGAACGTTGTTTTTAAATAATATCCGTGGACCATACTTTTGTCGACATCGGGTCAATTAATAATTTTCCCAAGAGGATATATTGATAATGTTACCAGTTATTACTCATCAAGCAATACTACTCTTATATTAATCAATTCAGGCCGTAAACAAACATACCATATACAAATTTATATACTAATTCATTATAAGAAAATTAAGTCATACAAATATTGTAAATATATTGCTACAGTTGAAGCGAAAAGTTTTGTTCCTAAAAAAATATCTACTATACATATATAAAACGCGTGTTGAAATATTAATTCTGTGGAATATATATCAATATAACATAAAACGAGATGTAATTAACGCAATATCATCGTAACAACAGCTATGTTAGAAACGTCTAGATTTACTTATTTCACTGAGATTTATGAAAAAAAATCCTTTGCCTCGGATACAGATACCGATGAACGAGGCAACAAAAAGCGGCAAAAAATCCCCCCACGCTCTCCTCAGGAGTAGTTTTCAGGCACTTTTAAGGATCGAAAGTAGGTCGGGGAAAACCGAAGTAGGTCAAGACAACTGGAAATAAATCGAAATACGTCAATGTTGGGCGACGGAAAGCAAACCTTGACATATTTCGATGGATTAGTAAGAAAACATTCGTAGAAAACTATTCGAATAAAAATTATGAATAGATCCGTCATCTTGTGAAATATTATTCTAGTAATTCGGCAGCAAAAACCATTCATTTATAAAATTCATTCACTTATGAAATTCATTTATTCGTCAGGATCGATTATAATAAAATATTAACTGAATTTTAGTTGTCGCCCGGCGACGTAGATTTCTTTCCGAGAAGCCCGACAGCGGTCGGTGTTAATCATAGACTTAAAATAAAATATAGACTGAGCATCTGATTCATAAATAGCTGGAACATGCGGTCAGACAATATCTTGTTATTGTTGTCTTATTGTTTTAGGTTATAACGAGTACGACACGAGCGATGAATGGTTGTCTCTGCAAAATAAACGGTCGTTCCCCTACAGGCTCTGCCGAGAAACTTTTAACCGCGCTTTCTTTCGTTCAAATTTACACCTGAACTCTCCGTCTCACAGCCAATTTGATTTTTTTGGTACTGTTGAG